AAAAAAAAAAAAAAAAAAGAGAGATGGAGTAGTAGACATTGCCCAGGTATCTTTTCTGTAGAGTGATCAGGGGACATTTGAGTGGAGACCTGAAGAAAATGAGTGAATGAGATGGGATCAGTCTGTCAAAGAGAACATTAGGTAGGGCAATAGCGGCCCAAGGTCCTGAGATGGGAATGTCCTTGCCGTGTTCAAGGGACAATGAAGAGATTACTGCCTCTGAAGCAGGTGCTGCGTAAGAGTAGGAGGAGACAAAGTCAAGAGGCTGTAGATGGTAGGTCATGTTGACCTAGATGTCAGCCATGACTGACGAGATGGAGGCCGTTGGGGTTTGACTGTAAGGGTTACCTGTTCTGAACAACAGTTTGAAAATTGCTCTGACTTTGTGTGGAGCAGGGAGGAAGTGAGGAGGCTGTTGTAGTAATGCAGTACAGGAAGAGTTCAGACTTTGAATGTATTTCAGAAATGGCACCAGCCTGCAGGAAGGCCGTGAGAAAGCGAAGGAGTCAGAGACAAGTCCGGCAGGTTTGCCTACTTGGTTGGAAAAATGGAGTTGTCAGTTACTGAGTCAGGAAGGAGGACTGGGGGAGCAGATCTGGGGTGGAGACAATTTTCAGCCTGTTGAGATAGATGTGTGTATCAGACAGTGAAATGGAGAAGATGAGCCGACAGTTGGACGGTAATTCTGCAACCCAAGGAGGTCCCAGGGCCTGGGCGATGGTACCTGAGGGCACCGCCATGGGATGAGCACAAGGTCACTTGTGAATTGAATGTAGACTGGATACCCAAGAGCTGAGCTGCAGACGAGACTGGGGAGCAGCTAGGTGGTGGAGGGGTTCTGAAAGCAGATAAGAAAGGCTAGAAAGGAGGAGCCCATCGACTGCCCAGTGCTGCTGCTCAGTGTAAGGACTGAGGATCCATCACTGGATCTCAGAGGGAGGAGCAACAGGGGCTGTGCTGCAGATTGACCTTGTCATCTCCTCAGGAGCCCCCTGGGAGCCTGGGTGGGCTGGCATGGACTCCCGGCCCTCCTGGAGCACCTGCCTGTCCATGCTGCAAGGCTTTGTGTGGCTCTCGTCTAACCCAATGTCAGCCTGCTCTGCTCCTCTGCCCTGCTGAGCTGCCAGCCCTGGGACGCTGTGTGCCTGGGCCCTGCACAGTGGAGACGCTCTCTGATGTCACCTACCCCGTCGTTTGCTGCTGGAACCATGACTTGCCACTTGAGCGTCTGTTTGTTTCTATGAAGCACAATAGGTGCTGTAGAAGGAGTACATATTCCCCCATTTCACAGTAATCTTCTAAACAAGTACACGTTTTAAACAAAACCTGCTTAGATACAGGCTGACTAATCCACCTCAGCTCCCCAATGTTGCCTGTGTTAAGGGCGGACAGAGTGCTGCCAGAGGCTGGGCCCTGGGACCTGCAGAGGATTCTGGCTCCCTGCCATGAGAAATAGCCCTCCAGGGTCCAAGGAGAGCTGTCCCTTCCTCCGGTCTGCTCCTCTGCAGAGGGCTTGGATGTAGTCCCCTTCAGCACCTGCCTCAGCTCACCAGGCAGCACTGGGGTGGCATCAATGTGTCTGTTTAACTCAGGATGGAATCCTGCAGGCAGCCTGCCTCCCATTCACCTGGTAGAGGCCTGCAGTGCTCTGGGGAATGTGCTCCAATCCGCTCTCAGAAGTGCCAGGCCCACCCTGCCTGGATTGACGGGGAGGTGGGCAGTGCTGCTGACAGTTGAAAGCACACCCTTCTCCAAATAAAACAGCTTCATTTTAGCCAGACACAGGCGCTGCCTGCCAGAAAAGGGCAGAGGGCCACACGGGTGCCCCCAGGCAGCGATGTCACAGTCTCATCCTGCTGTGGAAACCTCACCAGTGCTGGCAGCTGACCAAGGTCTCCGAATAATTAGACTCCAATCTTTGCTGGTTGGAAATGAAGACATCCAGTATTTTGCTTGCCATGCGGTTGGAAATAGAAGTGCACGGGACAAGCAGGCAACACCACACTGCCGTTCCAACATGGCCATGGTGAGGGCCTTGCTCGTTGGCCTGGGATGCTGGGAGCATTATGAAGAAGGGAGGCAGGAAAATCCCAGCCAGACTTGGCAGGGTGAGCCTCACATCCCCTGGCTCCCAGAAAGGGGCCCCCAGAAAGACTGGCTTAGTACCTGTTTGTTCCCTGTCCCATGCTCCTCTTGGCCAGAAGCAGCACCCACTTGTCCAGTATTCCTAGGGCCAGAACTTGTGGAGAGGGAGCATCCCTGCAGCTGGGATGCTAATGCCTGTGAAGGTGCAGCTGTGCCTCGGCTGGCAGCATCTGTCTCGAGTTGGTGTCTGCCCAGGCCTAAGGAGACTCCCTCTGTCATCACCCTGTTTCCTGAGAGTCACCCAGGTCTGCAGAAATGATCTGCAGGTCTGAGCAACATTAGGCTTGTCCTAGTCACTCAGTAGGTCTCCGGCTCTGAGTTGAGCCTGAAAACATCTGTGTGCTTTACAAATGGGCACACATCGAAATTCCTCACAGGTGTGAGAGCCTGTGTCTGCCCTTGAAAAATAAATTGGCCATGGATAAATGAGTAAGCACCAGTTAAGACCCATCTGCAGCAGTGCAGTGTGCTTTATAAGCTTACCTGATCCTCACCCATTCTAATACCTGTGTCAACTTCTAGGTGTGGAAATGCTCCTCTGGACCACCTTCCTCTAAACAGAATAACCACCATGAGGAAAAGGTTCAGGTCAGCATCCCTTTCTGATGTGTGTTTTGGGACTGTGTGGTTCATAGCTCAGACTCCCTACTCAGAGGAGCAGCCTAACCTGAAGTGCGCCCAGTGTGGAGAAGGACCAGGAGGCCGCCTACAGGGTGGCAGTGGGCTGGGGTTTTCGGGGAACTCACTTGAGACTTTCAGACCACACAGGACAGTGAGAATGGGGTGGTGGGAAGTCAGGATTCAAAGTCACAGAGGCAAACAAGGGATCTCAGTGGCTTAGGTGCCAAAGGAGTCATTGACATCCTTGGCTCACATCATGGGATGCAAACAGCATCACAGTGTCCTTTCTGCAGGAATGGCCTTGGCCCTGTGAAAGAAGGTGAAGCCCAATATGCCGTGGTCCACTGCACAGGATACATCAAGGCCTGGCCACCTGCAGGTAAGCAGAGCTGCACATGTCTTTCCAGGGAATGGATGCTGCTTATGTCTAATCATGGTATTGTCTAATGTCTAATGTCTGTTTATGTCTAATCATGATTATGTCTAATCATGGTATCTTGCTAAGACAGTACTCATAGAAGAAGAGGCCAGGAAATATCCTTATTTTCCTTTGTAGTTAGAACACAATGATCTTTGTCATTAGAAAAAGTTCTGCTACCTGAAACAAGGGTTTCCAAAATGAGCTAATGCTACAGAGGTGATTGGAACCTTAACAACCCATTTCAAGGTTCACAAAACCCTCTAGAAAGTCAGAGGGACAATTTGGAGTAATAGATGTAGCCAGGTCATCAGAGAAATGCAAATCAAAACCATGATGCAGTACCTCTTACTAGAATGCCTAAAATAACAGGCAATAACAAGTGTTGGTGGGGGAAGGGGACATTTGGAACCCTTGTGTATTGTTCGTGGGAATGTGAAGTGGTGCAACCACTGGGAAAAAGTCTGCAGTTGTTCAAAGTAGCAATACTACTCAACAAACAATTTCACGCCTAGGTATCAACCCACTAAAACAATTGAATAATTGAAATTCCTGTGTTACAAGGGAATTTGTGTACAAATGTTAGTAGCAGCTTTATTCCTAGTGGTCAAAAAGTGGAAACAACTAGAATGTGCACCAAAGAATGCAGGGGTTAAATAAAATGTGATTTGCTCATAGGGTGGAAGTTTATTGAGCCATATAAAAAACAAAGTACTGCTACATGATATGACACTGATGACTTTTGAAAACATCTTGCAAAGTGAAAGTAACCAGGCACAAAAGTCTGTGTATTATGTGACCTCATTTACAGGAAAGCTTGGAACAGGCAAATCCATCAAGACAGAAGGTAGGTTTGTGGTTTTCAGGTGCTGCAGGGAGGGAAGAAAGAAATGACAGATAATGAGTACTATGGATTTGGGGAGAGTAATAAAAGTGTTGTAAAATTATACAGTGGTGACAGTTGCACAACTCTGTAAATATGCTAAATTGTACACTATGGTGTACACTTTAAAGTGTTGAATTTTATGGCATGTGAATTATATCTCAAAAAGTTTTTTGCTGGGGATCAAATCCAGGGACTTGTGTATACTAAGCACTTGCTTTCCCCCTGAGCTCTACCCCCAGCCCAATGAACTTATTTTTGGACAGGAAGATATATACAGCGTCAACACATTTGTGTGCACTCTCCAGCCCAGAACATGGTATATCTCAGTGAATGATCTATGTCAGTGTGAGATCGCTGTGCATTCTGCTCTTGTTGGATGGAGTATTCTGTACATGTCAGTTGTAGTGCATTGATTAATAGTACTGTTAGGGGTGACTATGTCCATGTTGATGTTTTGGCTGTTTAGTATATCAGTTACTCAAAGAGTGGTATGGAAGCCTTCTGCTATATTAGTGTATTAGCCTGTTTCTCCTTGCAGTTCTATTGGTTTTGGCCTCACATATTTAGATATTCTGTGTTTGGTGTGTCTTAGGGATTGTAATGTCTTCTTGGAGAATTGCCTCCTTCATATAATGTCTCTCTTTACCCCTGATACCTTTTCTCACCTGAATTCTACTTTGGCTAAAATTAATATAACTTCTACAGATTTTTAAAAAATTAGCGTTGACCTGCCTTTATATTTCAAGTGGGTTTTTCATAAACAACATAGGAATTGGATCTAATTTTTTCATCCACTCTGTCAGTGTCTTTTAATTGGTATATTTCAACCATTCACATTTAACATGATTATATAGTTTGGTTAATAACTACCATGTTTTGTATTAATTGCTCATGTTCTTTGTTTCTTTCTCTTTTTCTGCCTGTACCTGTTTTCATTAAATATTCTATATGATTTTTTCTTTTCTGTCTTAACATATCAATTGTATTTCTTTAAAATATTTTTTATTTCTTGTCCAAAGTTTCCAATACATTTACAGCTAATATAAATCCATGCTCAAATAATAATAATAATAATAATAATAATAATAATAATAATAATAATAATAATAATAATATAATAATTATATATACTTCATGAGTAGCACAGGTACCTTATAACAAAGCATTTCTTCTTGCCCCTTCCCATTCCATATGATATCACATACACTGATTTCACTTATCCACATATTGTCATTGCCCAATCCACTGTTACTATTATTATCCTAAACAGACATGTATCAAATGATTAAGAATATCAAATATGAAATATTTTATTTTACCTTCATTTGTTTCTTCTTTGATGTTCTCCTTTTTTTCTTTATGTAGAGTTGAGTTGCTGATCTCTATCATTCCTTCTTCCTGAAGAAATTAGTTTACTATCTTTTGCAGGGCAACTCTACTGGCTATGAATTTGCTGTTTCTGTTTTTGTGGCATTTTTGTTTATTCTTTGCTTTTAAAAGGTAACGTCACTGGATACAGAATATTATGTTGGCAGTTAACATTTTGTCAAAATTTTAAATATTTTACTGTGTCCCTGTTTGTTTCAGATGAACAGTCTATATAATTTTCATCTACATTCTTCTGTAGGAATTATGAGGTGTTTTTTCTGGCTTCTGGGATTTTCTGTTTGTTTGGTTTTCTGCAATTTGTATATAATATGTCTAAGTATAGAATTCTTTTTAAGTCTGCCTGTTGTTCTCTAAACTTCTTGAATCTTTGATTTGATCTCTGCCATTAATTTTAGGAAATTATTAGACCGTACTTCTCCAAACAGTTCTTCTTCCCCATTCTAGCTACCTTCTCTGAATGTTTCAGTTACACATACATTTTATACATATTACACCTTTTTAAATTATACCACAGTTTTTGGCTATTCTTTTCTGGGGTTTTCCCCTTTATATTTTGGTGTGGAGACTTCCAGAATGATACATCTTCAAGCTCTTTGGTCCCTTCCTTGACTGGGTTCAGTCTTTACTTACTCTTGTTCTTCATTTCTGCCAGTGGTTTTGATTTCTAGCATTTCCTTTTGATAGTGGTGAATTTGGCTTCTGATATGGGGACAAATTACCAGGACCGCTCCCTGGCCAGCACAGGAACCTGTTGTGTACATGCTGTTGTGCTGAGGTATTTGATGTTGCCTTGCCTTACCAGCAAGAGTGTGGCCTCCTTGTCCTCTAGGAGACTGTACCTCTAACCTGTGTGCCAGCCCTTTCCTCAATAGCATGACTGGTTCAGAAATAAAATAATTTCTAGGTACTGTTTAAAATTTTAAAGGATGATTTTTCTATATCCACAAATGCAGTAAGCAGTTGTTAAATACACATCATAATAACAGTAAAAGGAACACTTCCTGAATGCTTTCTGTGGGCCAAACATGATTATAAATGCTTTAGCTATGTTAGCTCATTTAACAACAACAATGGCCCTATAGAATAAGTAATAGGAACCCCTCCAATTCAAAAAATCTGAAATCCAAAATTCTCCGAAGTCCATAATTTTTTATGTATACATAAAAATATATCTTTATATATATATATTCCCATACATATATTCATATGTATCAGTTTGATAAATACACATACACATTTAAATATTTTTTAACTTAAACTATTTTATGTTGCTATAACAAAATACCACAGACCAAATACTTTTTAAAGAAAATAAATTTATTTCTCAGAATTCTGGAGGCTGGAAAATCCCAGGCCAAGGGACTGTTTCATAATACATCACATGATGAGAAAGCAGAAGCTCGGGTTCCCTTTCTTTTTCTTATAGAGCCACTGATCCTATCATAGTGTCACCCTCACAACTTCCTCAAAATATAATTACCTTCCAAAGGTCCTGCCTCTCAATACCGTTAGCACATGAGTTTGGAGATTTAAGTTTCCAACACATGAACTTCCGGAACCATATTCAGACCATGCCAACCAGAAAGCACAGAAGTGCCTGGGTGCTGTTTGCGAAAGGCCTTTGCTGGACTCGAGCACAGGGACTCAAAAGGTATCAATGCCTCCACGGTTCAAAGACTGGACTTCAATTCTGTCTATCCAAAAGCAATCTTGACTATGCTCTAGAACTGATGGGGAGGCCCTAGAAGTGTGAAGAGTTCTTAAACACTGCTGTGGTAACTGGGTGGGATTCAGTAATGCTCTGGGTTCCTCATAGGTGGCATGGATGCTGCAGTGGGGGGTCCAGGGAACCTGTCAGGTTTTGAAGTACTCGGGAAAACAGATTTGTCTTCAGAGGAGGTTCTTTGGCGAGAGGAAAATAACAGCAGAAGGATGTGGGATCTTGAAGGGCGGATTCCAATGGTAGCTTGGTTATCCAAGCACACAGGATGGCCTGCCCTGTGGTAGTTGTTGAGCAAGGCTCTGAGGACTGCAGGACACAGGGATCCTTTAGAGGGATGGGGAGACGGGGGTGTGCACAGGTGACTATGAGGAATGTGGTTGCGTAGTCTGCCTGACTCTTGGAAGGAAGCTCATCCTAATGTTGGGTCCTAAAGCTGCTCCTTCTAGTGCTGCCAAGTTCTGCCTTTCAGGACCCATATCAAGGTGACTACTTCATTCTTATGAAAGCTTTCTTCATTTGAATGAACCATTCTCATTATACCAGACATACTCCTCTTCCTGTTTCAGCCTCAAAGTCATCTCTTTCTCCACTTCATTTGGGCTCCAAGCCTATGACCTCACACAAGAAATGCTACGATCATGGTAAAATTCACTCTTCGTGTCCATGTGGATGAGGATGGGGGAGAGGAGGCTGAGGCCCTAGGGGCAGGCAGGAAGCTCTCCTGGGTTGCATGGGTAGAGTGACAGCCAGTGTTGATGTCTGCAGGGACAGAAGGACAGGCCATGCATTAAATCTTCAGTGATGGCCTTGAAACTTTGCCACAGGAGAAATGTTTGAAGAAGCTGGGGGTGTTTAACTTAGAGAAAGTGAGACATGATTTCTGCCCTCAAATATTTGAGGGGGTGTCGTGTGAAGCAGAAAGTAATCTCAGGATAGTTCCACGAGGCACAATTTGAACTAACA